CACCTCAGACTGAGGAAGTCTCTCGGATGAGAGACGAAACGTTTCTATATTTTTGTTGTTTTGCTTTGTGTTGTTTTTTTGAATGTCCAGAGGACCAGATTTAACTTTTTTAGACTAAATAACCGTTCCATAGATTTAGTTGAATAAGTGCAGTAGTCCTGTAGTGAAAGTTTAACCTCTGACCTGTTCAGAAGCTGTTTTGGTCTACCTCCGCTCAGAAGTGCTTAAAAACTGAAGCTTGCATCATATCAGCTTTGGCTGTTACAATCCTTGTTTAGCAACAAAGAGTTGGGTTTGATGAACTAGTTTCTTTTATCTTCACATGGTCTTTACTGGCTTTAATCTTCAAGACTGAGATTAAATGGTTGGACTTGTTGGTGACTAGTGAATTGGACCAAGTGGAGCTGTATGAAACATGCAGACTTGATTCTAAACTGTGTAGTTGTGACAGATATGGAGGAGCTCTGCAAAACCTGACGCTCAAACTGCCCGTCACCATCAACAAGTTCTTCCAGCCCACTGAGATGTCCTCACAAGACTTCTTCCAGCGCTGGAAACAGCTGAGCCAGTAAGAGTGTGTGTTTGTGTGTGTGTGTGTGTGTGTGTGTGTGTACTAGTGTGTGTGTGTGTGTGTGTGTGTGTGTACTAGTGTGTTGTGTGTGTGTGTGTGTGTGTGTGTACTAGTGTGTTGTGTGTGTGTGTTGTGTGTAGTTTTGAGTTGTTGGCGCGTGCGTGGCTGAGGGTTTCTCTCAGATATAACTTTCTGTCAATCACTGAACAGCATTTTGTCTCTTTACATTTTAGCTGTGTGTTTAGTTAAAGTCCAACACGGTCATATTCTGCTCCGTGTTGTTAAAATATCTATACCGGAGAAACTAAATTCTGAAGAACGCTTGATGCAGCTCTAAATCTCTGCATGTCTCCTCAGGCCTCAGCAAGAAGCACAGAAGATATTCAAGGCCAACCATGGGATGGACACTGAAGTTATCAAGGCGAAGGTAAACATTTAACATTTTGTTTCTTGGCTTCCCCTGACACCATCACCGCTTTTCATTGTACACCTGTCGAAGGCAGAGCGCTGCATACACTTCATCACCACAACTTCAAGGTCATAAATCAAAGTTAACAAGTTCTTTTCTTGTCTGGGCCATTGCTTTAGCCTCTTGTATTGCTGGATAATACTTTGCTCACGAGCGTTGATGTACTTTTGTTAAATTGTATTCTTGTTGCTGGAGCAAATAAAATGTTTCTAAAATATTTATGGCTAAACATTAATGGGCAGTGATGAAACACTTGTAGCCAAGAGAAGATATTTTATCCCTTTCAGCCATTTAGCCATGTTTGTGTCATCTGCTGCTAAAAGGTTAAGGAGGACGATAATGTTTTTGCTATATGTGCATTTGTTTCTCTTAGCCAAACATGTCTCCTTCAGTGGATGAATTTAAATTAAACTTGCAGAAAGTAATCATTAGATGTACATCTACAACTGATTGTTTGTAGTCAGCCCAACTCAAGATGGCCACCACATCAAGCTGACCTCAAAAGGCTTATAAACTACGATAAAACAGTTTTACACATATTTAGTTAAGATTTACTGTTGTAGTAGCGGAGGGTCGTTTCCAGTACACTGAGCAGGACAGCTTGTGGAATCACATCTAACCATGCAGAACATTAAGATCACAATCTAAAACTGGCATGAAAGGCAGCGGGTGACGAGCATTCATTCTAAAAATGTTGGGCCTTTGGAGTTCCTTTATGTGATGCATGTCTTTTGTTTGCTGCCAGCTGCTGGGATTAGGAATGGCCCTGCTGGACAATGTTGATCCGAACCCAGAGAACTACGTGTGTGCTGGAGTGATCCAGACCAAGGGCCAGCAGGTCGGCTGTCTGCTCAGACTGGAGCCAAACGCACAGGCACAGGTACAAGCCACCCACATGTCACGCTGAATCATTGCGTCTCAATGTCTCTAAGCATTACTTAGAAAAATGAACACTATCTTCAAGGAAGAAGTGTGTAATGATGATGGATGGATAAACAATATCTTCAACAGCTTGAGTAGCAGTCAGGATGTAGAATAGTAGGGATGCATGAACACCAATACAAAGTACAAGTACCTACATACTCATCAATACAGGTAAAAGTACTAATCATGGAAGTGCTGTCAGGAGTCATATGATGGGATAAAAAACAAAGAAATATGGTACAAAGAGATTTCCAAAACAGCCAGTTGTTGACGTCATCAGATTTATTACGCTTTGGAGAACAGCCAGCAACCACAGAAGATCGATACATTTACAACGCCCCAATGCCTTCAGCTGTCTGAGGCTCTGACCCATTCTGATTTCCTTAACTGAAAAAAATTAGTTCTGTTTCATCCCTACTGACTGCCAGAGGCGGTGCTTAAAGCACTGAATGATCATTCTTGCGCATGCGCAGGTCGAGTATTTTATGCCAACATAGTCGCGTGTGACACCCGGGACACCGGTGAGTCTATATAGGCACGTGACAATGGTAGCCCAGTCCCTTTCATCTTCTCGCATGCAGGTGGTAAGAGGTTTACTTTTTCTGCTTGACGCTGGTAGCCTTGAGACTATGGTCAGAGCTGCGGGACTGTCTCGCCCTCCAGAGGCTGTGCAAGCTGGTATCCTCTAAATGATTGTACTTCAACTGGTAATTTGTTTGTTTCTGTTGACCCGGCGGTAGCACGTTCGCTATCCGCATCTGGTTTCCTTATTGGCTGGAGGTACGGCGTTTAGCCGTTTTTACCTTAGTTTACAGAAAGCATTGCAGCCGCGTTTGTGCTTGCTTGTTTTCAGTTGCGGGTGTAGCGGCCGTGTTCGGCTTCGCCCATCTTTACCTGTTCGGGCTCGTGCTCATATTGTACAGCTGCGTCCGCTTGCTGTTTGTTACATTGCAGCCATTTTTCGTGCTTGCGTTTCATTTCCATAGTTACAGCCGTGTTCGGCTTGACTTTAATTTGTTACGCTGCAGCTGTTTTTCGTGCTTGCATTTCCTTGAATTGTGCAGCTGTGTTCGGCTTGCCTTTTTTCATTATAGTGCAGCCGTGTTTGTGCTTGCATTTTTTTCATTATAGTGCAGCCGTGTTCGTGCTTGCATTTTTCATTATAGTGCAGCCGTGTTTGTGCTTGCATTTTTTTCTTGATTTGTGCAGCCGTGTTTGGCTTGCCTCCCTTTCTTAAATCGCAACCGTGTTTGTGTTGCATTTTTTACCTGTGGCTCTACGGCAGTCGTAGCACTTCTGGCTACTTTTATAAGCTATCAGTTGGGGAAACCCCTGGTGGCGTTTTCTGCTCGACCGGGTTCCCTGGTCCATTCGCTCATTGACTCCAGCGTCAAGAGTGGCGTTTCCTGCTCGGCCTGATGCTTCTAGTCCTGTGAGCCATAAGATGCTGGACATGCAGTGCTGCAGAGCCTATTTGGCCCCTCTCCAGTTGGAGGATGGACATGATCTGTGCCCCCCCTTACTTGGGGCCGGATCATCTGAGGGAGGCCTTGATGGAATCGGCCTGCCCCAACTGTTCTGTTCTGCCCTTGTCCCTGCAGGTAGCTCGTTGGCTAGTTCTGAGATTGCGGGCCAGCCTATAAAGCGTGTGGCCTCAGAGGCCTTGGGGCCTCCACGAAAAAGGACCAAGAAAAGCTCCAGGGGCTCAGAGGTACTATCTGGGCAGGTGGCCCATCTCACCTCTGAGCTGGAACAGATGAAGGTGCTGCTAGAGTCCCTGAGGGAAGGGGGCAATGCAGGTCTGACTGGGGACCCTGACCTGGGACAGAACATGGGCTCAGGGGCCTGTGCTTTTGAAGAGGATGCTATTTCCCTGACAGCCTCTGGAACTAATTTTCAAGAGCAGTTTGAGTCTGGCTCATGTGTGTCGACTGCCAAGTTCGCACACCACCTCCTGCTCTCAGCCAGAGGAGGATGGTTCCGTAGTGGTTGGTTGAGAACTGCTCTTGCTCATGTAGTGAACTAGGCCTCCGACCTCAACCTGTCTCTGAAGACCTTCATGGGACAGGAACTGTTATTTCATTGATTTGAATCCAGAAATACAAATTATCTCATCAAGAGACTATTTAATTGTATCCTGAATTAATCAATTGAAAGAACACTCTTCTTTTTTACATTATCATTACTATCTTAGAATATCTTGATAATCAAATGTGTGTTTAGTTCATACCATTTCTAAATGTGAAGTGAACCACTCATTTAAATCAACTGTGAAACAGTATTAATGATTTTTAAACCTCAGCAGATTTTTGATCATACAGTTAAATGCCTATTTACGAAGTAAGTGTGCATTTAGTGATGTTGGTCGAAAATCAGAGACAGAGACGAGTTTTTAGAACGAAGTGTCTTGTTTTTAAAGCTAGCAGACAGTGAATAACTTCAACTGGCACCTGCGTTTGTCTCACGTCATCATAATATTTCTCCGTCTGTACCAACCGTTCGTAAACATTCCTGCTGTCTCTTGACTGCTAGTGACCCTCTTGACATCACTAGAACCACCCCCCTGCTGATTGTTTCAACCAATCAGGAAGTACCACGTAACAGGAAGTGTATACCCCTTTAAAAGGAACACTTTGTGGAACTATTCAGTTCGGTCCTAGACTTCGGTCCTGGAACTCAGTTCAGTCCTGAAGTGCAGTCCTGGAGTTCAGTGCTGGAACTCAGTTGGAGTCTTAAGTCTTAGGGCTAAGTCTTCAGAACTTGGAGCGGATGGATGGGACCATGTGCCAAGAAGTCCCTCCATTTAGCGGAGTCACGGCTCGCATCGCTGTGCACTCAACCCGAGCAGTAAATGCTCCACTTCTAAGGAAGCTTAATCGGTGGAACCGAGTACCTCATGAGTATTTGCATTTATTCTAAAGATTCCCAGCTACTTTAACCGGAGACGCTGTAAAGGGATCGTACCAATGGACTTCTGTTCCGGAGTGGAGGTATCCCCTTCTAAGGTAACAAAGTCGCTGCACGTACTGAAGTGTACCGGAAAGCTGAGCGGGGTGTCGAAGGAAGGGTGCAAAGTTCTGGTTTCACACATAGCTTCCATCTAAACCTCCTTTTAAATCTTTAAATCTGTCTTCTCTTTAAACTTCTATTTGCCAGTAATCTAGATGCCTTCAGAGGTGAATCAGCCTCAATCAGTAATGTTCTGTTGTCATGTTAGTAAAGCGTGACACGTTTATTAATCAGAAACAGATCAGCAAATCAATGTGTACATGTTTTGTTGTTAAATTTTGATTCTGTTAAATAAATGACCACATTTATTCTGATGGGTCAAAGATAAAATGGCGTCTCATGTCACTGATTAAGCAATCCACTCACAGTTATCTCGGTCACATGGCATAAATTTAACTCGAAAAAGAAAAGAATCTGTTGTAATTAAACAATTAATATTCTTTGTGCTTGAACTAGCTTTAAGAATAATTAATTAGTCGTATGTCTACAGCAAAGCTGTCCTGACATACTACACTCAGTTGCACCTAGATGTCCCACAGAGCCAACCTGCTGCTTCCAACGCTTTCTTTAAACGTCCTTCTGGTAGGTCGTCCTTTATGGTTCCCCCTTCGGCTGAATCTATAAAGGAGGTACAGGCCTGCTGGATGGATACTAAGACTTTCTCACAACCGACCGCAGATGGTAGGGCCCTGGCGGCCATGCAGGATTTGCCCAAGTTTGGCTTGGGCCATAATGCCTTCTGTTGAACCTGCCATAGCGTTGTGGCTCCGGATGAGGCTTTGAGGGCTAATGCCAGGTGCCCTCGTCTTCAGTGCCGGGTCACAGATGACCTGCTCTGTAGAGCTTATGACTCGGGGTCTCGATTGGGATGACTGGGTAACTCGTTGTCACATTTGTTACTGGGCCTCTCGACCTCTTTGGAGGGCTTCGCGGTTGATGCGCCTACTCAAGGCCTGATGGACGCTTCCCTTCATGCCTTTCCTCTTTTTTAAAGGGAGATTGGTCATGTGTTATCTACCCTTGTCCAGGCACGTCGCCAGGTTTGGCTGGCGCAGTCTCCCCTGACTGAACCCTGTAGAAGGACCCTGATGAGTCTTCCTGTGGTTTCTGGGTAGTTGTTTGGTTCTGCTGCACTTGCGGCCTTGGAACGTTCAGCCCAGGCCACCCGTACCAGATAGCAATTGTCCGGCCTTCATTGCAGACGCTCTCAGCGTCCTGCTGGAGGTGCCTCTGTGTCCTCCTCACACACTTATCTGGCCCCACCTACACCTTCCGTGGGGCAGCTGCGGCCTGCAGCAGGGCCTGCTCATAGCCAATGGGCTCTGCCCAGAGGTCGGGCTCCCGTCCCTCTTCAACGCAGGCAGCCCTCCCGCCCTCCTAAAGGCAGGAGAGCTCAGAAATGACATTTGGAAGCAGGCAGTGAGACACTTTACCCCATTTCAGTTCAACCGGTGGGCCGCTCTCGTGCCCGATTCATGGGTTGTGTCAACACTCTCGGGGCTATGTGCTACAGTTCCGCCGCCGCCCTCCTGTTCCTGGTCAGGTCAGAATGACGGTCATTCACGACCAGGTGAAAGCTCAGGCACTAAACCACGAAATGGATTCCTTGCTGGCCAAGGCTGCTATAGTGCCTCTTGACCCCCTGCGGGATCCAGGGGGCTTTTACTCGAAGTATTTTTTTGTCCCAAAAAAGATTGGTGGACTATGGCCAATTTTGGACCTGAGAGGTCTGAATGTGTTTATAAAACTATTCCTTTCCACATGTTGAGCATCAGAGATGCGCTCCAGGCGACTGGTTCATCTTGGTCGACTTGAAGGATGCATACTTTCATGTACCGATTGCGCAGCACCATTGGCAGTTTCTCCGCTTGGCATTTCAAGGCAAGCATTTTCAATTCAGAGTTCTAACATTCGGTCTTTCTCTGCCACAGTGTGTCAGCGGGATTC